AAAATTTTTGCTGTGAAAACAAGACAACCAAAGGGGGTAGGCTACTAAACTGATTGTAGCATACAAGTAATATTAAAAATTTTAATGGGGCAGGAATAGAGCACGAACTATGTATTGATGGATATAGAAATAAAGCTGGTATGGGAAAAATAAGCAGGAAAGAGTTAAGAGACGCTTCTGTCCATTAAGTCATATACGTCTTAGCTCAACACCGCGACTGAAACTCGTCAGCAATGACGGTGGCGATGTAAACCCTGCATGCTTAGTTCCACTCGGCCGGGACCAGGCATCCAGATGGCGATGCCTGCACAAGAGATCGGAAATCCAAGTATCGCCCCTTCACCCGTCCAAATAATCCCCAGTGACCCGAGTAAAAAGACAGATATGATCCAAGTAAACAACATTGGGTGTTCTTTGCTCGAGAGAATCCAAGTACTGCACGACTGTAAATGCAGTACTTGGACAACTGAGAGAAATTACTTGGAATTTGCGTGGTCGAGACTCGGCGTTCAAGTAAACAGCCCCAACCTGTTCAAGTAATTTTCCTTCCATGTACGTGCAACTTGTGCCAGGGGCGGAGAGTGGGGTTTAGGTGCGGGACGTGTGCAGAAGGCAAGTGAAAGGTTTAGAGGTATGTGGAAAAGGGGCAATGACCGGAGATGGTGGTTTAGGTCTCAAGGGTTCGTAGCATAACAGGGAGGAATTTTGCATAGTGACTGGAAATGAGCTGAGATCTTGCCTGGAGGAAGGAATAAGCAGCTGAGGCAGAGACTGTTGTAGGGGGAGGGGAAGACGTTATGTGAGTTAATAAGCAAGAAACTAGATGCTGAGAGGAAGCTAGCAAAAAATTTGTGCTTGCAGTTCAAATCTCACTTGGCGAGGGAGGAGGGCACGGGGGAGGGGGGAAAGAAATCCGGTTTTTGCGCTACGCTATTCTTTCAACTCTCTCCTAACTTAAACCCACGAACGAAGACAATTCAATGCGGTCAAGCCGAATTTTAGTGATTGCCGACCAGTGCCACTATTGCTAAAAAGCGACCACGCGCGGCACATCGGTCAGGTGCGCAGCCCTTGCCGGTCTTTACCCTTCGCTGAATGGGCCGTTGTTCTTGCCCCCAGTTACTAGCATTTTCCTTTCACCTATGGGACGTTTACGGCCCGTACTGCCTTTTACTTCGGAAAATTGTCTGGTGGGTTTTGGTGGGTTTTTTCCGGTCATTGTTTTTGTTTTGGGGCTTTCTGCTGGTTACTTCTTTTATTTCAACACTCTTTCAACTACAGGTGAACCCGGTACGGCTTCTTGGGGAGGGAGGGAAAGGGAGCGGCGGCGATTTGGGGGTGCTGAAGAGACCATAGGCGGATCCAGGGCGGATTCTTGGGGGGAGGGTGGAGGCGACAGGGGGTACCGAAGAGAATTTTCTACAGCAAAATAACTGCTACCTGTGGCTCTAGGGGCAAAACATCTATACCCCCTCCCCCTTTTTTCACTGGATACGCTAATGCTTTCAACACCTTATGTTGGTGAACGTTTTTGACATCACATGACAGCATTGGTGGACTTTGGTTGGGCGGTGGTTCGCGGCGTCTTTTTTGCTTTTTCTTGGGACATGTTGACGTTTGCCGGGCCAAAAGAAGTACAGTTTTAGTAGCTGCTGCGATTACCGGTCAGTGAACTAGCATATATAGCGCATTAGCAAGTAGTACTGCTCTGGTGCTGGAGCTCGAGAGTTCAGCTCCAAATTGCGACTTCGCAACTTTAAATCCAAAAAAAAAAAAACTTTTTATGTTTGCTTAATTCTCAGCAATGGACAGACGAATGTTTTGCCGTGGAGATTTAACAATTCAAGAATTAGACAAGGAAATTCACTTAAAAACTGAACCTGAAAATATATGATGTTTCATATTCGTGTGCCGCGAAGGAGACACCCAGTTCCTCTACGATTTCATCGTTTTCCATCTTGATGATCATTTGTTACTAGCATAAGCCAGGGAGACAAACCTGCCATCAACTTGCTTTCGATCGAAAAAGGGAGTGTTTGACAGCTTTTTCCAAGCACTTGATTGTCCTTGCCATTTGCTCAACTTCCAAACGTCTCCTTCTTTCATAGAGAACAGTCTCATACACTATGAGTTTTAAGGTACTTGTTGTGAACGGAACCCTTTTCTCAAAAATTGCTCTGGATCAGTAGGGGATCGAACCATTCCTCTTCACGTGCGGGACGCAATGTGTTACCACTACACTACCGATTTTTGTGCTCCATGTTCTGCCTGACAGCACGTCTGCTGTGTATCTCTCTTTCAAGGCAAATGTATACGACTTAATGGACCGAAACATTTCTTACCTATAACAAATATTTCCTCAGACCCCTTGCCTATTTTAATATCCTTTTTCTCCTTTTCATTGTTCCCCTCTTCTCCTGATATTCTTTTTAACTTTAGTAAGATACACCTTTCTTTTCTTTTTTCTTTGTCGCTGCTTCTTGGCCGGCTTTTCGTAGGTTTTCTGCTACAGTACTATCGAGCATCACAGTACTGGATTTGTTAAATATTTGTGGATGTGATCGATAGCGATGCATTTTGCAAACTTTTGCGAATTTTCAGGAATTTCTGAAAAAGGTGTGGGTGGCGAGGAGAGGGGGGAAGGCGACTGTTTATTTTTTATGCAAAATAGAGCGAATTTATTGGGTTTTTTACAGGATTTAGCGGCACTTATTCTTCCCGGGATGACCAAACGACGTGCGACGAACAAAAAACCAACGGGCGTGAATCGTTCACTGGGCAACTGCTTATCGAATGAACGTGAGAGAGTACGCACAGCGCATCGGCACAAGGAACGGGGATATGAAGCTGACAATAAGGTATCACTTCTTATGTAGTATGCTTTAAGGGACTTTTTGTCAATAGTCGGATCAAGGACGGGGTCCTGAAGGGGAGGGGTAACGGGAGATGGGAGGAGAGTCGTGGAGGGAGGCAACGGAAGGTGAGGAGGGGAACCTCTTCCCACCCTGGAACTGTGCAAAAACTGCTACTTGGAGTTACTTTAGGCTTTAGTTTACTTTAGTTTTAGCTTTAG